AGGAAGAAAGAAAGAAAGAAAGAAAGAAAGAAAGGTATGTGTGGGGCCAGAAAGAAAGAAAGAAAGAAAGAAAGAAAGAAAGAAAGAAAGAAAGATAGATAGATAGATAGATAGATAGATAGATAGATAGATAGATAGATATGTGTGGGGCTGGGGATATAGCTCAGCAGCATGGTGCCTGCCTAGCAAGAGCGAGGTCCTGAATTTCCAAATCCCCAAAAAACAAATAAAAATAATTATGCACCAGGTGTGGCACTGCACATCTGTATCCCAGCTCACCTATATCCCAGGAGGCTGAGACAGGAGGATTGCTGTCAGTTTGAGGCCAGTCTGGGCAACATAGTGAATATAAGGCCAACCTGAACTACATAGTGAGACCTTGTCTCAATAAAAAAACAAACAAAAATAAAAGTAATCATGCATCATCTGTGCATGGAATATTTGGAATTAGAAAGATATGTGAACGTGTTAATTTTAAGAACTAGTTTATATAAAAAAATAAGGCATAAAATTAGATCATCAACTAGCATTTACAAAGCAACTTCAGGAATGAGTTAGTCTCTTCACTGAATGCCACATACAAACTGCTCTACACAGCAGATCTGAGGGCATAGTGGCACATGCCTGTAACTCCGGTACTCAGGAGGCTGAGACAGGAGGATTGCAGTGAGTTCAAAGCCAGCCTGGGCCACATAGTGAGTTCAAGGTCAGCCTGAACTACATAGTGAGACCCTGGCTCAAAAAAATAAAAAATAATTTCAAAGTTTAAAAACAAAACTTTAAAGTCTCATTTAAAATAAAATAAAGGATGAAAATATACAGATAAACTACCCCAAGTTTCACAAAGATTAAAATCTATGTATTTTTAAAAGTTCAACCTGTAAGAATTCTCTTACTGAGGAAATCTAATATGGTTACACAAATCTGGAAGCTTATCTCAAATGTTACTATTAAACAGTAGATATTTAAGTAACAGACCAAAATATAAGCAATAGGATCTAAAGTATTCTTCAGACCTTTGGAAGTTTCCACCCCACCCCACCAGAAATCAAGTGGATTAGAGCAGTCTGGAGACTGACGCAGGACAGGTAGCCATGAGTATGGAGACCCAGATCCTCTAGTTATTCTGAAATAGACTGGAACTTAATCTGCCTAGCATGGGTTAAACCAGCCAGGAAAAGCCCTTATTCTCAGAGGCTCTATATAAAATCCCTTGGGAGTCCACAACTTGGCAGAGGAGAATTACACGACAGCCCTGGCAGTTTTCAATTTTACCAGATCAAAATAGCTGAGCTAATCTCTTCAGCACT